CCAGTGCGACCTAGAAAAAATTTTAGTCGCACTCTGGAGCCCTGCAGCATATAACATAAGACAACTGTGTAACTGAGTAAGAGAAAGATATTTTACTTTGACAGTTGGCCAAGATCCTCACAAGAGAAAGGAACCAGTAGTTTGAAGTGGGTCAGGGTGTTCCCAGCGCACCAATCCAGCACCAGCTTTCGTACCACCGTACTCTTTCCTGTTCCCACGGCACCATACAGCAGTACATTGAGCCCCCGACCTCTCTCACTCCAGTCATTGGTGGGTTCAAACAGCTGTTCCACAGTCACAGAGGGGCTGAAGGGGGTCTGGGTTTGGATAGGGGAGCTGAGCAGTCCTGCACTCTCCTCAGACGTTCTTTCTAAGATCAGAGGATCCACATGCATGGTCTCTGGGCTGAAGCAACCACCAAACTGTTTCTCCTCCTGAGGAAGGTGGCTGAACCACAGGAAGAGCTTCTTCTTGTGGATCTCTAAAGGATCTACTAAAAACAAAGAAAGGGGGAGTTTTTAGAATTTGAGTGTATGTATCCAGCCTTCTTTCTCACCTATCTACATTTTCCCTGACATAATAAAAGAGTTGAAAATCTAAAATCTATCAACGTTATCTATCAACGTTGAATTTGGAGCACTTGTGAAAAACGGATTCAAACAGAAAGGTCTAAATCGAAGCAGCAGAGACTGAGATATCCTGACTTCTAGTCCCCAATATTGGTCAAGTTTCAAAACACTGGATCCTACATTTCCCATTATGCAATCCTGCTTGGTAAACGCCCACATCTTTCAAACTCCACACCCCCAGTTTGTAACGTAGGCTTTCTGTTACAACTTTAAATCAAAAGTGCCCCAGAACCACAGACATGATAGAATTGTTCCCACAGAATGAGTGGTACTTCTAGAGATTACTAAACTAACTTTGACATATGAAACTGTAGGAGTGCTCCTTCAAAAACTTTGTTCGCTTGTTCAAAGTGTGTCCTTTTGCTGCAGGAGACCTTTTGTAAATCACTTTAAACTGAGTTGCCCATTCAGGGTTCCCACTCTTTTTAAGAAATCTTTCCAGGTCGACACTTGCTCACACAGTTAATTTAGCCTGGCCCACACCAGGAAGTAAAAATCAGGATATCTTGGCCACTGCTGCACACATTTTGACCATTCTTTTTAAATCTATCACTAGTCCACAAACTATGGAAATGGAATAGAAAATTGCTGGATGAACAAATAATGTTTCTACAACTGCTACAACTAATATTTCATACACTATGGTCACTAACTACTTCAGTGATTGTCAAATAGCAATAAACTGCTACTGAGTTGGGCACCTGGTTCTGAAGTGGTGGAGCAGTATGTGCTGCAGTGAAAGCCAGGGGCTGGGTAGAGAGACACCTCCTCCCTCCTCCTCCACCTCCATACTCGGAGCAGCTGACTCAGCTGTCTGCAAAGCACAACCCAGGCTAGTTCAGTTGACATTGTTCAATCTTCACAGGATATAAAACCACAGAGACAGCCTATAAAGGTCACTTCAATCCCACAGTCAACACCTCCGTCCTCACAGTGGTTTATTCCAACTAACCCGAGATCTGCATCACATGGCGGTTTAATGGCAGAGAAGGGCTGCTATCAGACTGTTTGCAGGTTGTAGCAGGTATACTGACATACCTGTCAGGCGGCTGTGGCTCAGAGGCA